GGGAGACGGCTGGGCGGTAGCAAGGGGGTGCTCTCGCCTCGGGAGTGGAGATGTAGGAACCTCCTGGGTGCTGGAAACACAGAGTTTCACAGGGAAAACTGCACCCATGCTCACACATCCAGAAGCAACAAACCCCCATTTCACAGGTGATGCACAGCAGCAGGTAACCTCCATAATAACACCACTGGGGTTATGCTGATATTGAAAATAAATAAATTCTGTTACAGGCATGCCAGATGTATGGAGATTTGCTTTCCTAAGCCTGCAGATGTGAATTGGCACATGTGTGCCGGATCCTGTGGACGGGGGCCAGGCAGGGAGCCTGCCTTTGACTTCCAAAGAGCTATGCAAAGTCACACCTGGGAACCAGCGCACAGGCTGCAAATGTTTTAATTAAAGCAAAGAAAAAGGATTCAAGTTGAAGGCAGTCATTACCTCCCCAGCTCTTCTAGGAAAGCCTGTTGCTGCAGACAATGGTAATTAAGTGGAATATTACAAAGGATTTGGAAGAGTAAATCAAATGATTGTTTAGGCACCAAAACAAGGAAAATTCTTGCAGTATCTCTCAGTCCCACACAGTTTCCTTGCTTGGTTTCTGTCGCTCATGTGCACCGGCCTCCTGAAGCTGCTCTGGGTCGCAGGTGGGCTGTGTTTGCCCCCTCAGATGGGAAGGTTGCTTGCAGGGAGGACGTCAATTTGGGAGGCAGGGTTTGCTGCAGAGGGGTTGCCTGGAGGGTGAGGACACTGCTGGGGGTGGTGGGTGGGCTGGGGATACAGAGCAAAGGGAGGAGGAACGGGGCCAGCTGAGATGTTTGCAGGAGCTCAGCTGCCCGTGAGCACTGCTTTTGGACTCTGTTATTTGCTTTTTTTTCAGCACAGGCTGGAAGAAAGACATTCAAAACTTTTAAGGTTAGTTAAGGTTAGGTTGTCATTAGCTGTATTAATTCCTCACACCCGTGCTGTGTAATTCAGTGTTCGCACAGGCGAGTACAGAAATTGAGGTGACTCAAGAGTTTATTTTTAACCTTCACTAATTTTTGGCCGGCCTCTCTGCAACATCCTCTGCGACAGCAGGGATCGAGGAGTTGGGTTTTGTCCCCGGACTTTGGTCTTTCTTACTGTGGCTCCTTTGATTTTCTGGGTGAAGGGAGATTTGATGCTCCCGTGTTTCGGTGCATCTGGGTTTCAGTGCGGTTTTGCAGAAGCGGTTGTGAGTGTCTGCTGTAAACTTTCCGGGCTGGCGTGTACTTGCTTGCTCTTTCCCATTTGCTGTACTGAGTTATGTAAAGCCGGGATGTTGAGTGGTCAGGGAAGAGCAAAGCGTCTGACTCTTTGAAATGTAACAAGGTGTGAGTGTTTGTCCGAGGTGGGTTTTTTCCCCCTTTTTTCTTTCTTATTCTCCTTTTGCAATGACAGCTGACCAAAATACCTGCATCAGTTGGCGAGTTGCTCTGCTCCAGTTCACTGAAACCCATCCTCAATCTAGATCATCCTGATAAAATCCTCCCCCAGAGCCCTGTATATGCTTGGTTTTGCTATGTCTTTTTAAGAAAGCAAAAATTAAATACTGGTTTGGGTTTTTTTCCCAAGCTAGCAGAGCTGTGTGATACCCTCCTTTCCATGGAAGAAAGGCTTTTGGATTAACCCAAATCGTATGTTAAGAAATGAACGGTGGTTAATTTTTTTGTCACTTAATGGATAAACCACCACCCTCCTCCTCCTCCTCTTTTCTCCAATTCTTCAGTTTGACTTCAAGATTTTCATTGTAATTTTATCAGAATTTTGAAACTTTTCCCCCAAAGCAAAAGCCTCCTCCAGCTCACTCTGCTGAAGGTTGGCAGTATTTCCTGCTACTGAGTCTGCTTTAGAGTGAAAAGATGTAGGAACAAATAAATTACGATCCAGTTTTATTGGACACATTCCAAGAAGAGAGAGGAAGGAAAACACAGCGTCATATCACTATCATCGAAGTGTAAAAAGCTGCAATTTTCTTTTTTAATGGTTCGTTCACAAAGATAAAAAGACATGGTGGAAGGCTAAAGGGGTAAATTCCATCAGAAAGGGGAAAGTAGATTTTGGGCACTGGAGCGCCCTTGGGCTCTTGCTCCCGATTGCCTCATTTCCCATGTGCTGGGCTGAAACCTGACTGCACTTTTCAGTTTACCAAATGTCTTTCTTTTGGCAGAGAAACCCACACATAGTGGAGATGCTGAAATACCCCCAGGAGCAGTGTGGACATGGCCCTTCAGGCAGTTTTTTTCAGTGTAATTTTCACTGTCTCGGACTTTCACCTCGACTGCTGCTACCAAGACAGTGGGGAAAGTCAGTGAGACTTGGACTGTTGGATGTTTTTGGCATTTTTAAGCCATTCCCACAAAACCCAGCATGAGACAGGACAGCAACCCAATTTAACTGCAAACACTGATCTTGCTTTCGAAGAACTCTCTGCCTCAGTTATTATTTAGAACTAAAAAATGCTGTAATTTAGAGAACAAGCCCTTTTCCACATGCTTTGGATCAGTCACTGGTGCCTCCTCTGACAAAATACACCCACGAGATTACATGTAAGGTGCCACTATGGGCGAATTTTCATTTAGGAAGACAAAGGACAGGAATGTGAGAGCAGTTGGGCTTCCTTTTAGATAAGCTTGTTGCAAGTTGAATCCGCATCCCTGTGGGTGATACTTTCCAGATGGAGGTATCTCAGATTGCTTTCCTAATATTACGCTCTGAACCACTGGCCAGGCTCATGTGCCTGACTTCACACAGCTGCAATGCTCAGCACATCTGGAAGAAACATGTTTTTGGAAGCTCGGCTGTGAATGGGGAAAAAGGGATTTTCCATCACACTCGGGTGACTCAGAAGTGACTCCTAATGGGCTCTGTGCTCCCATAATAAGGGATATTTTAGGAGGGGCCCCGCACTTGCAAACCACTGCCTGGGATCTTTCAGCAACCTCCTGGGGTAATTCTACATAACAGAAAAATAACCCACATCTCTGATAAAGATGAGTTGCTTAACTTGAAGGAGCAAGTTTGGTTCATCCCAGCAGTGAAGACAAAGCAGGCTGAACTGAAGCCAGGTTCCCAGCCCATCCCTGGGCTTCTGTGGGCCAGAACTGAGCTAAAACCCCAAGTTATTGCATCTTCACTGCTATTTGATCTGTCTTAGCTGATAGCTGTCAGCTAGCCACGATTACAAACAAGCTGCTCAGCCTCATTAAAAGCAACAAACAAAAAACCCCAATTCCCCATTCAGAAAATCACTTAGGCCTGTGTTTTCCTTTTAATCCCATTTCAGGTACTTTGAGAGATCTGGTCAACACATGCTCCGTTGCTTTTCTTGAACTGTGATCCAAATGCTTAAGAACTACAGTGCAAGGAGCCGGGACAGAGGTAGGTGGAGGGGATGGTGGTGTGCAGGAGCGATACAGGAGTAATGCAGGAGCAACGTGGGAGCAATGGTTTTGGGGAGGATCTGGTGTTGGTTTTACTCGGGCTGTGTAGCATTCTTCAGGCTTTGGCTTTTTATGCTCTTTTTGCTGGAGGAGGTTTTGGAGAAGATTTTGACACCTGGGTTCGTGCCTTTTGCAATTCCAGAGCTGAAATTCCCTCCGCTGGTACTCAGACCACTGCCACCACCTCCTCCATAGCCAAGACTGCTTGCAATGCTGAGACCACTGCCTCCTCCAAATCCACCTCCGAGACCACCACCACCCCCGAGTCCAAGTCCTCCTCCACTTCCAAAGCTGTAGCCTCCACCGCCACCGCCTCCAAGACCAAAACCACTTCCACTGCCTCCTCCGAGACTGAAACTGCTTCCGCTGCCTCCTCCAAGACTGAAACTGCTTCCACCGCCTCCTCCGCTTAGGCTCAGTCCACCAAATCCTTCTCCTAACCCAGCTCCACCAGCCGTGCCAGAGCTGGTGTGCATGACAGCTGCAAGAAAAAGCAACCAGAGGGTTGGACATCTGCTTGGCAGTCACCCAGTTCCAGAAAGCACCATCATCAGGACCTGGACCCACAGGACTTGAACCCAACTTCTGGCCCCTGTGCAACCCGCTAATGCTGGTGGAGGGCTCAGAACGTCTTATATTGAGCAAAACCTCCCTTTTCCCAAGGTTGCTCACAGCCTCTGCTCCCAATGGGCCCAAAGCAAGACAAGCACTGCAATACTTACAGTAGCTGATGGGGTTGAGTCCCTCTCCGCTCAGCCTGTTGGAGGGCAGATGAAGGGGAGGTTAGAGCAAAATGGAGACAGGCAGGGGGAGAAACTGCTGGCAGGGGCAAAGTGATAGTTGCTATTATTCCTGCAGGGATTTTGCTCCTACCTGCTCTCCTCTCCCTCCAGCAGCTTCCTGTAGGTTGCGATCTCAATGTCCAGGGCCAGCTTGACGTTCATGAGCTCCTGGTACTCACGGAGCTGCCGGGCCATGTCAGCTTTGGCTTTCTGCAGGGCATCTTCCAGGTCAATCATCTTTGCCTTGGCATCTTTGAGGGCCAGCTCCCCACGCTCCTCGGAGTCTCCGATGGCCGTCTGCAGGGTGGCACACTGCAAGAGGAAGGATTGGGACTCCTAAATGCTGCTTTTCTTTTTGGGTAAGAGTCACACAAGGAAGAAAACCATTCTGCTTGGGGTGTTAATGAAAAAAGTTATGACTGAGGTCATTCACCCATAGCTAACATTGCTGGAGTTGAAATGCCAGCCTGGCAAGAATGATTTGATACATGCTATAGCGTGGTAGCCTTTTCAGGAGGAAATTCAACACGTTTAGTGAGGTACATCATACTCTGTGGCTGCTAGTCCCTGATCAGGAAAGCAGAGCTGCAGTGCTAAGGGACCACAGAACAGGGCTCCGCGGGTTCCTTTTGCCATTCCTACCTGGTTCCTCGTGTTCTCTATCTCTGACCGGATCCTCTGGATCAGCCGGTTGAGCTCAGCGATTTCCCCCTTTGTGTTGCGCAGGTCGTCCCCATGCTTCCCAGCTGTGGCCTGCAGCTCCTCGAACTGAGGTTCGGAAGGAAGAGTAAACCATCTGAGATGTCCAGGTGGACAAAATGTGGCTCAAACAGCCTCATATGGGGACAGCAGTAATTTTCCCCAGAAATGCATCCATGGCTTCTATAGGTCTGTTCACCTTGGTTTGGTACCAAGCCTCCGCCTCAGCCCGGCTCCTGTTAGCAATGTCTTCGTACTGAGCTTTGACTTCAGCTATGATGCTGCTGAGGTCCAGGTCCCGGTTGTTGTCCATTGTCAGAATGACGGCGGTGTCGGATGCTTGTGCACTGAGCTGAGCCAGCTCCTGCAAGGAAGCACGCAGGGTCCAGGGCCAGCTGCACTTACCTTTTCAAATGCCATGAATGGTGGCAGTCACTGTCCAGGGGGTGACAACAGGATAGAAATCAGGGGAGGAGGGTGTCTGTACCGCATCATAGAGGGCTCGGAGAAAACTGAGTTCATCAGTCAGGGCATCCACCTTGGCCTCCAGCTCCACCTTGTTCATGTAAGCAGCATCCACATCCTGGAAAAGAGCAACCATGGGGACATCTACAGCACCTGGTACCTCTTCTTTAGCTCAGTCAGTAACTGGCCAAGCCTGGAGATGAGGCTGCCCCTTCCACTGCTGCAGCAGTGCTGCCTGACTGGAGAAGCGGTGCTTGGCACATCCACCTGGAAGAGCACCAAGAGGATATCTCTTGGCCAAAAGAAGTGCTGCGTGTAATTTTGTTAGTGGATAAGGAGGGGGGCGCAGGCCATTTGGCCTTGGTACCTGGGGTTCCCAGCACTGCTGACCATCTTTGATTCTACATGGTCTCTTTTGCCCAGGCAACCATGTGTGTATGTTGTGGGACAGGAGTGGGACAAGAATGCACTTCCATCCTCCAACCCCCTCCATTCCTTTCCCCCAAAACCGCAATCCAAATGACAGCTTTTAAAGGATGAGGATGCAGCTCCATGAGATCACCCATCCTTTAGGACTCTCACAGCCTGTGCAATGGTTAGGGTTAGCTCAGCATCTGTAACATCTCCTGTCTCACCCACCTTCTTCAGGACCACAAATTCGTTCTCTGCTGCTGTGCGTCGGTTGATTTCCTCTTCATATCTGCAGGGATAAAGGGAAAGACGTGCTGGATCATACCTTGGTAAGCAGAACAGTTGTACGGGTAGGACTGCAAGGTTATCTGGGCTGGGTATGGCATTTCCAAATCAACCGCCTGGAAACTGCCCAGCTCTGATTTGTGACACACCCATTTCTCAAAAGGTTGAAATGACATTTTGACATAATGCAGATGAAACAAGGAGGGTAAAGCTTTTTTAGATTATTTTCCTTTGCAAGTGTCATCACAAGTTGTTGTGTTCTGGCTGAACTTGTGTTTTCTGGTTGGAAAAATGTCGATGGACCACCTTTCTGCCGCTGTCGAGGAAGGCAGGGGTTCTGCAGGGAGAGATACCTCACAGAAGTAGTACATTAGAGGGAGATTAGTTAGGTACCATGTTACGGGCTAGAGCACAGACTGGAGATATGTTTTTTCCCTTTCCTGTAGAAAGTTTGATGAATATCTCAGGCTAGATGTCTAACTTTCAGACAGCTAAATTTAAGTGAGATTAATCCTACTGTCTAATGCTAAGCTGAACCATTTGCATCCCGTTTCACCCCAGGGTGCCTGGATGTGCCGGTAACAGGCACTCACTTGTTCTTGAAATCCTCAACGAGGTCTTGCATGTTCTTCAGCTCCCCGTCCATGCGTCCTCTCTCGTTGAGCAGGTTGGCCAGCTGCCGTTTCAAGTTGTTGATGTAAGCCTCAAAGAGTGGGTCCAGGTTGTTTTTGCCTGAGTTGTTTTTTTGACCCTGGTCCTGCAGGAGGGTCCATTTGGTCTCAAGCACCTTGTTCTGCTGCTCCAGGAAGCGAACCTGAGCATTGGGAAGCAGAAGAGGCTTAGCAGAAGATACCTGTGAGCACGCTGATGGCCAAGAATCAGTAACTGGGACTGATGCATAGCACAAACCAAGGAAATCCCAAACCAAGAGCATGAAGTCCAGCTGTGAATATCCTCCAGATTATCTAGGGTTATGTTAGCCATCCAGTAGCTAAGCAAATCTGCCCTCAGTGGACAGTTCTCTTTAGAGACAATTCAATTTAGCAAGTCAATGAGCAATCATTACAAAATGTGGGTTCAGCTCTTTCATCATTTGCTTTCTTTAACATCCTTTGGTTTTTCCTTCTTTGTAGGAGATATTTATCTTCCTTCATTAAAGCTAAGATCTGAGTACTACGGGTTAAAAGACAAGTACTTAATTACCTTTCCTTTTGCTCATATATACTACATATTTACCCAAGTAAAAGCTAAGGAAGGACTTAAGTTGAGTCAATATAAAAAGGACTTTAGCTCGCAGGCAATAAAACAATAAGGAATAACACGTCTGCTGTGATTCCCCACAGAGAGAGCTGTGTTAAGCAGCTAGGTCTGGACCTGAAACTGGCTTACTCCACTTGAGCTAATGTATCTTCTTGTTCAGGCACAAAACCTGGATCTAATCCTCTTATTACTAGTTACTTATATCTAGTTTTCTGCCTTGTAACTGTTTAGAAGAATGTTCTTTTTTGATTATTTTAATGAAGACATGCAGATAGGAAATTAAAATAGACTGTAGATCTATGAAGTCATATTTTTGTAGCTACAGGACTGTCTCGCTCCCTCTCTGTCATGATTCCACAGCACTTGATGAAGTCTCACCTTGTCAATGAAAGAAGCGAACTTGTTGTTGAGGGTCTTGATTTGCTCCTTCTCATCTTTTCGCACCTGATGGATGTTTGGATCTATCTCCAGGTTCAGCGGTGCCAGGAGACTCTGGTTGACAGTCACTTCTTGGATTGTACTGCCTCCAGGTGGACCACCACCAAATCCCAATGGGTTCCTGCCACCACCCAGCCCTCCACTGAATCCTCCCAGTCCCCCTACTCCACCAAAGCCAAACCCTCCACCACCTCCCTGTCCACCACCAAAGCCAAGCCCACCAGCACCTCCACCAAAGCCATATCCACCACCTCCACCACCGAGACCAAGTCCAAGACTGCCACCAGCTCTGCCACCACCACCACTACCGCCACCTCCCAGGCCAGAGCCACCACCAGCTCCGCTCCCAAAAGCAGCTCGGAAGCTGCTTCCAACACCAATGGATATCCTCTTGCTACCACCAAGGTTGTAGAGGCTTCTGCTGCCAAAACCGCTGCCACCTCCTCCGATGGGCCTTCCAAAACCACCTCCACCTCCTCCAGATCGTGCCACAGACATCGAACTAAAGCCAGCCCTGTTGCCACTTGGAATAATAGCTGAGGCAGCGCTGTAAGATCTGCCTCCAGCTCTCATGCTGCAAGTTTGCCGGTTCATTGCAGCAGGAGATAACAGCCCGGCACTGGCAAGAAGCAGCAAACTGAGGGAGTGCAGCTCTCTGATGGAAGGGAGTGCAGGATGCCCTTTTTATCCCTCTGGGGATCTGGGCTTGGTTGCATGGAAGTCCAGTGATCAATTTAGTGCCTTCATGGTTTTGACGTGCCAGGCAGCCAGCTGTCTTATTGAAACTTGTTAAAGACTGATTGCACTCAAACACACCTATTGGAGTGAATCTGCTCAGCTAAAAGAGTTACCTAACGCCCTGATTTTTGGCAGGGAGAGCTCTTAGTGCAAAGCCTCTGTATTCTTGCAAAGATGTATTATTTTATTTCTTTGCTGCGAAGCAAAAGAAAAGAAACAAAAAGGAGTGAAAAAGAGAAATAGCTACCCGGGTACGCCTATGCTACTTATAAGATGCAGTAGATCAGTACAGAGCTTAGTGGACAGTTCTCTGAATTAAGTTGAGTGAAAGGCAGTGAGACTAAAATGGCTAAATCTGAACATAAAATTTTCACGAGGCTTCTTTGCCTGAAGGCAAAGTGCAAGTGTGATGTTCATGAAGCCTGACGTCTCTTTCAGGACTCTTAATTTATCCAGTCTGCCTGTTCACACTAGTTAGGCAGAGACTGTCTTTTTGAGCTGACTGGCGCAAAGAGGTCCTGATCCATGATTTTCCTCTGAGACACTGTATTTAAATGTCACCTCAAATTTTGGCCATTTAGTATTAGGTATTTAGTCTATAGCAGGTTTCCTAGGCTTCCTTTCTAGAGATATGGGCACCTCCAGAGGACAACTCCATCCCACCCAAAGGATGCCGTTGCAACGTCTCCAGCCAACTGATGATGTGATCAATGCATTTTCACCTTGATCTAAAAAGCATTTCAATGAAAGAGGCAGATTTTCTGAAAAACACTTTGCCCGGCGTTGTGGAACTGTATTATTTGCATGCTAACATTAAAATGTAATCAGTCTTGAGTTTCTAGCTCTTTACAGCTGTGATTTCTTTTGCAGACCTTTGAACCTTTCTGTTCAAAATGTTGCCAAAAGCAAAGATTTAACCAGCATGAAAAATACTCCCACAAATTCTCATTATTTTACTTCCTGGAGTCCTTGGGAAAAAGAGCAAATTCAATAGGGTGTGGTGACATTTTCTGGCATCTCAGACTTTGTGGAATTGCAGTGTTTAGAGTATTTTATTTTTCGTACTTAAGAACTCAGTTTTCAGCATGTTGCTGTCCTGGTGGCATTGCCCGTGCTGTGCACATGACTGGAGCTTAAACATATTTGCAGGACAGGACTCTACATGCCCTTCAAAATATATTAATGTGCCCCAGTGCTACAAAACCATTAAGTACGAGCTAAAAATCCCACTGGCATCTCTGGAAGAACAATTAAGCAGGTGCTTCGTGTTCTACCAAATACAGAAGACCAAATACCTGATTATGCTTGGAGAGATGCTGCCAGGCTGGCTCAAACCAGGAGAGCTGGGTCACTCAGAATTTCCTATTGCAGGGTGAAATTCCTGGTTGGTACAGGTTGGCTTGCTTCTCTTTGGAAAATCTTGGGCTGAATCTGCCTGGGATGTCACTTGAAATTCATGAACATCTATTGCCTTGATTATTTGCATAAAATTCAAAGCCCGGGTGTGATGGTAAAATGAGGTTGTCTTCATGCTTTCTTGACCCCAGTAAAGGCAGATTGTCCTGAAGCTGACAAACGGGTTCAGATGAGATATTAGAGCTGAATGAATATAATGGGATTAAAGGTGGGGCTGCCAACAAGAAAGAGAGAATTGTCATTTTAGGCTACCACACTCTTCTTCCTTCAGCCCACTGTCCACAAGGTATGCGAGTGATGCAAAGGCTGGGTGAAAAATGCACCACTCTTTACCAGGCTGGTTTATTGTGTGGAGGAGCTGAGGTTTGTGGGCTCCATTCCCAGAGGCAGATGTGGCTTTTTGCATCTGTCAATTTGGATCAACTCTACTAGACTCTGTCAATCTACAAAGGGGCATGTCTGGAGTGACACTGAGCAGGATTTGGCCCCCAACTGCCCCAAGAAATTTGCTCCTGGCCTTTTTTCTCCAAAATAGCCTGATCTACATGAACATTTTCAAGTAGGCAGCAGAAAACATGGGTTTTGCAATACTCAGGGGTTGAGAAGGGCAGGGATGATTAAAGGTATTCTCCCAGAAATGCAAGAGCTGCTGGGCTGCTTTGGTACCCTGGGGAGCCGACTGGTTATTGGTGTGCAGGTATTGTTTTGCAGGGAGGAGATCAACATAAATTATGAGCTGTTGGGGCAATGAGAGCTTCTTGTCTGGGTATTTCTGCTTGTTATTTGCATACAAATGGGACGAAGTTCGAGTTGTATGCATTGAGACAGAAAACATGAAGATAACCTTTTGAAAAACATCCTCTTTTAGGTGGGTGGGTTTTGCCTTCTCAGCAAGGGCTGGTCCATTTGGATTTCACCACCCCCCAGCCCAGACAGTGTTGCTAAGGCATGTCATTTATTAAAAAACGATTAGTGATCTGCTACCTGCTGATGGCATCCAATAAACCATCTTGCTTTCCATCAGCAAAGCACTGCAGACATGGGGAGCCTGAATCCACCACACTCGGCACAGCCTCTGTGCTGGGAGAGAAGCACGGGCAGATGCTCAACTAGTGGGAACGAGTGGTGGGTTCATCACCATCACGCCGGCGTGGACAGACCGAGCCTGGCAGGATGGTTGAACTCACCCTTCAGCCATGGAGAGGTTGGGGCAGACAAGCCGTGAGTCAGCAGTGAAGTCTAGGAAGCGGAGTAGGACGTCGGGGAATAAATTACAACACCCGGTCCTCGGTGTACCTTTCATGGGGTAAATTAACCTGCCCGCACCCTGTGCTGCTTCCAGACTGGGTGAGGAGAGACAGATTTCTCCAAAGGGCAATTCAGAGCAAAGTTGTTTCAGGGGCTTTCGGCTGTGCCCAGGCGAGCCGTGGGAGGGAAGAAGACGGCAGGGCCGGCTGGTTTTCCCGGCATCCAACTGTGCATCCAGCTGTGATGAGTGCCGCCTTGGCAAGCCCTTCCCAGCCACGTTATAGAGACCTTTCAGCGGGTCACCATCCCTCGGAAACTGGGGACCCTCGCAGAGAAAAGGGAGGGGGCAACCTGATCTCACCTAAATCCCAGTCTCCTAAAATGATGGGAGAGGGTTTTCCCCTCCCTGCAAGGGATGTTGAAGGGGGACATCCAGGCATATCCTACAGACTCTGCTCTTCGTGGAAGTTGATGTGTTTTAAGGAAGGTGAGGCATTTGAGGAAGAAAGGCCCTGATGCTGCAGTTTGGGAAGGTACACTTTTCTCTTGCTTTCTTTTAAAATTAGCCTGCTTTTGTGAGAGGGTTTCAGGGGTGGGGTGTGGGATTATTTTCTTTCTGTTACTACCTGAGCTGGTTCTCACTGATTTCTTTAAACAAGGGCCTGGCTGCTTTTTTTGTTCTGCCTCCAGAGATCCCAGACAGTGTGAGAGATCCCAAGTGAGCTGCACATCCCACGAGCGGTTAAATATCCTGGTTTACACTGCGTTTCCAGACTTCCTTGTGGCCACATTAATCTCTGGATGGAATAAAGGTATGCAAAAGTGCATCAGGAAGGAGAGCAGACAAAGTCTCAAACAAAAACTTTGTTAAAACTCTACTTCTTGCGAGCGACCAACTCCGCCCATTTGGAGATTCATGTTTGAGAAAATATCTATGCTTTTGTAATATCAGGGAGGGAAATAAAACCCGTGAAGCAAAGCAAAGCATGAATTATGCATGTAGTTTATTGAAGGTACAGCTGCAAGTTTGGAGTAAGCGAAGGATAATCAACTCTGTTCACTTACACATTAAAAGCATTAAATCCGTCTGTCTAGTACACACACAGGAAAAACAACGCATGCATTTAACTACAGAAATATAAGGTGCTCATCTGTATGTCATTAAAATCTGCTCTACCAAACCTGGTGTAGCAACTTGGACCAATTTGCATAAGCATTACCAACCCTCTCATAAACAGGAAAAATTGGATTTTCTGGTGTCATTAAAGAAGTTAAATAATAGCTGCAGCTCCATCTCGGACAATTAAAATGTGGCTTCTCTTTCTGAAGTTGGGATGACCAAATTTTTCATCCTTTTGCAATAGCTGCATT